GACCAACGGTGGTGGTTACCTTGAACCGTTCAAGGATGTCCATCACCAAAAACGGGTACGGGAGGAGGTGGTCGTGCTCGGTGGACGCGGCAATCGTCATGTTGATCATGACAAACTTTGCCCAATTGATTGGGGCCGAATGCATGATCGCATGGATAAGCTTGAGGTCTTCACCGTGCATGATGGTGTGGCCGTGCTTCCTCGGTTTGATGATTCGGGTGACGATGTAGAGAACGAGGTGGCCGTCGGGGTTGGCGGAGTGGATGGTTGGGCGTCCCGAGGCATGGCGTTTGAGCTCGGTGATGCCAAGCTCGTTGAGGATAAGGCCCTCGTTGTTGAGCACCCAATCCTCGCCACCATAGTGAGACACATCGTCGCCTTGGAAGAGGAGGCCGGCGATGCGCCCAAGCTGCTCCACGGTGAGCTCGATCGGCGTGCTCTTGACGAGCGAGTAGAGCACGTCGTCCTCACACTGGAGGTTGGAGTAGAAGGCCCGGATCAGCGCCGCGTTGATCTCCTTGCGCGCCCGGGAGACGAACGGCCAAAGGCCGGCTTGATGAAGCTGCGCGTCGAGGTCGTTGTAGCCCTGCAATTCCGGGTAGCGCTCTGGGATGATTCGTGGGGGAGCCACAACCCGTTTGGAGAAAAAGGTGAGAAATCGGGTGCGCTCCTCCTCGGAATCGAACCAGAGGTACGATCCATAGCCGTAGTAGAGGCGTTCCTCGGAGGTCGTGGATGGAGCCCGGGATTTGGACTTGGATTTTCCGGAGGTGCCTGCCCTGTTCTTGTCTTTCTCGTCTTTGTCAAGATGGTCAGACGTGCTCATCGGGGTCGCCATGGCTTTGTCGTTGTCCATTTCAAACCGTTTCAGGAGCTCCTTGCAGTATTTAGCTTTGCAAATGAACGTTCCATCTTTCATTTGCTTAACTTGGAGTCCCAAAAAGAATGTGAGCTCTCCCATCATTGACATTTCAAATTCGCTAGTCATTAGCGTTGAGAATTCCTTGCACAAAGACTCGTTAGTAGCACCGAATATAATGTCGTCTACATAAACTTGAACCAAAAGGATGTTATTGTTTTTACTCTTGATGAAA